AGAGGGACAGAAGGGGCCCAGAGTAGGTTGTCCCCATTTAACATGTATTAACCATTTTAAATCCCATTACTCCTCTTTCTTTTCCCGTCCCTATTTCCATTTTTTTTTTTTTTTTTCTTTTTTGCATCCCAAAGCCTAACCTCTAGTTTCCTGGTATCTCTCCTTCCTTTTTTTATTCATTTATTTTTCAGGTTTCTCATATAAGAGAAAACATGGTATTTTAATTTTGTGAATCTGGCTTATTCCACTTAGCAAGACTGTCTAATGTTCCATCCATTTTCCCAAAGAGAATATTACTTTGTTCTTCTTTATGTCTAAATATTATTCTATAATATATATACACAACATTTTCTTTATCCCTTCTCCCACTTTGCAGGTTATCTCTTTAGTCTGTTGATTACTGTCTTCATTGTACAGAAATTTTTTAGTTTGATGTAGTCCTGCTTGTTGTTTCCCCTATGTTTTCTTCCAGAAGGTTCACATATTCTGATTTTAAATCTAAATCTTTAGTCCATTTTGATTTTTGTACAGAGTAAGAGATAAAAATCTAGTCTCTCATTTCCATGTACAAATACACAATTTTCCAAGAACTGTTTGTTAGAGGCTATCTTTTCACCAATATATATTTTCTGCCCCTTTGTCAAGCATCAGATGGCTGTAGTTTTGTGCAGTTTTTTTGTGTGTTCTCTATTCCATTTTATTGGTGTACATGTCTATTTTTATGCCAGTATCATGCTGGTTTTGTCACTTGGGTTTTGTAGTATAAATCAGGTACTGTTATGTCTGCAGCCTCATTCTTTTTGCTTAAGACTATTCTGCATGAATTATAGATTTTTTAAAAAGATAATTCCTAGGTATTTTTAAGCTATTGTGAGTGTAATTTTTAATATCTTTAACAGCTACTTTACTATAGTTATGCAAAAATTTGTGAATGTTGATTTTTGTACTATGTAAGAATTTTTTTTTTTTTAATTTTAGGGAAGGGTCTACAGGATGTTCAGGGTCTTACTACTAGATTGGACTTGTAGCGATCCACCTATTTACAGCCTCCCAAGAGCTGAGATTATAGGCACACACCACCAAGCCCAGTCTCAGTTGCCGTCTCAGTGCGCCCCAGAGGTGGGGCCAGCATGGCAGGCCTGGGGATCAAACCACCGGCCCCTGTGCCTGCTTGCGGGTGCTTTAATCTGCTGAACTATTTGACCAGCCCTTGTAATAATTTCTTTATATTTAAGTGTTGTTTACAGACTATTATTAAACTAAAAATATCAATATAAAATTTCAAAGTTCAAAATTCATGATATTTATGAAGACATTTAAAGTAACTATTCTGCCCCTCACAAATACCTAGGAAATGACATCTACATATTCATATTGCCATATATTTACTTAAAAAGAGCCTTGCATACAGAAGTCAAGTTAGTCTCTGACATCTGTGAACCACATTAAGTATGACAGGTCAACCTGAGTAAGAGCTACCTAGCTAATTAGTAGTGCTCTAGGTGTGTGTGTAGATGACTGACACGTAGGTGGCAAACTGAGGAGGAAAGGCTGTGGGTGGCACCAACCAACAGTATTGTAGTCTTTTTATCTATCTATCTATCTATCTATCTATCTATCTATCTATCTATCTATTTATTGCAGAAGCAGGGATTAAACTCAGGCTCTTGCGCTTGCCAGGGAAGTGCTTATTCCACTGAGCCATCTCCCTGGCCTTGCCATTTATGCATTTGGTACAGGGTCTCACTACCCAGCTCGGATTCATAGTGATCCTCTTGTTTTCAGCCTCTCCAGCACTGGCATTACAGGCATGTGCCACCATGCCCAGACTTGTTTGCCCAGCTCAAGGCACCTCGGGGGCAGGCTTGCACAACATGTGGGACCAGAGACTGAACTGTGGTCCCTGCACTTGCCAAAGCAAATACTTAGTCCACTGAGCTATCTTGCCGGCCCCTGTAGTCTTGGCAGAATAGAAAGGGAAAGAAAAAGGAAGTCTTGATTCCTTTTTTCTGAGGAGCTGTGATCTTTACCATTGCCTCTGGATTCTGGTCTCTAGTTCCTTCAGGCTTTTTGAGTCTAGTTCCTTCAGACTCTTCAGCCCTCTAATGCAGATTCTTTAGTTTTCCAACACAGGCTTGCACTGGTGACAAGGCAATGAATTTCCAGGCCTTGGACCTCAGACTATTACTGGTCCTGTGACTCTCTTGCATGCAGAGGGCATTTTGGATTCTTCTACCTCTGATTTTATAAGACTCCTGGGATTCTTCCCCTTCAGATACTGTAAGTTAGTGGTAGCAAACCTGTGGCATACATGTTACTGCATTTTTCTTTTAAAACAAAAGATGTTAATATAGTATTTTCTTCTAAACTATAACCTCAGTATTCAAGTTTAATTGCAGTGTTGGTACTTTGCAATAAGTGGGGGTATGGTTGCAGTTTAGCACTCAGTCTCCATTATGTTCACCTTTTTATTTTTTTTGTGGCTGACTCAGTCCACCCTGGGGGTGGGGCTGGAGCAGCATGTGGTGCTGGGGATTGAACCCCAGCCCCTGTGCACTTGTCTAAGCTTGCCTAAGCAGGTACTTTAGACCGCTGAGCTATCTCACTGGCCCCATACTTATCATCTTCGCTAACCTCATAAATTCTGTGTGTAATCGTACATATATTTTATGTTGATTCTGTGCTCTAGTGAACTCTTAAATAGAGCATCTCTTTCTCTTTCCCAGGAGTTGGTTCAACCCTAGGGTGTGATGTATTTCTTGCTAGTGAGAAGTGAAGGCATATTTTGCTTGGGATAAAGAGCTTCTGCAAAACTTTACTTTGCTTTTTATAAAGAAATGAAACTGGGACTTCTTGCAGCCAGGATTTCTCAATACATAGCAACTGGGCTTTTTGCACTCTCTTGGAATTATGGTGCCAGGCAGACTCTTGGAAAGCCAAGATAATCAAACAGTCAAACCAGGGGTTATAGTAAGTAGCTAAAATTATTCATTCCCTAGAACCGTTTTTCCTCCAGACCATCTGTTGTGTAGGGTAATAAATGTTTCTATTAATTATATATTTTACATTTATTTTCTATTTTTAGCAGCTAGAAAGATACTAAACGGCACGATAGTTATATAAAAGATCTACTTTTATCAGAAAACATGCTATAATTTAAGCAGGATACAAAATAAGACTGATTGTTGACACAGGTTCCATGTTAGTCAAAAAGGTAAAATATATAATTTCTACAATAATCCCAAATAATGGGTTGAAGAACTATACTTTAAACACTTATATTATATTGACATAAACCAGTGTGATGGTTAAAAGCATAAGCTCTATGGGGCTGGGGAGATGGCTCAGTGGACTAAGTGCTTCCCTGGCAAGCACAAGGGTTCAATCCCCGGTTCTGGGAGAAAAAAAAAAAAGCATAAGCTCTGGAATGAGAATAATTGGATCTGAATCTCAGTCCAGCCCTTTGTTAGCCTACGCCAAGTCAAACTCAGTATACTTCTTTCTCCTCTGTGAACTAGTCACAGTTACAGCTCTATACTGATTTGGAACAGTTCCTGCACACAGGATGCAGAACATGTTAGTTGTAACAGTTTGAGAAAGGGTCTTGCTATGTAATTCAGGCTGGCCTTGAACTCACAGGAATCCTGCCTCAGCCTCCCAAGTGCTGGGATTATAAGCATCTGTCACCATGCCTGGCTGGTGTGATTATTTTACATAAAATGTATACATCAAAGTACTCATATATCAGTAAATTGTATAGTTAGCTGTATGGATAGTTACTGTAGTAACCATCTGTCACAGCACAAAACTAAGTTAATTTATAAAAAAATTAAATTGAGCAGGCTGAGGATGTAGTTCAATACTAGACCATGTGCTTACCAACCACAGGGCCCTGAGTTTGATACCCAGAAACACACATATCCATATGAATTAAACTACTAAATGGTAATATGACAGATTAACTTGCAATCAGTGCTCTTGATAGTTTTCTTTCAAAAATATCCTTTTAAAATAGCCAAAAGATTTAGCAATCCAACTTGACTTTCAAAACATTCACTATTATTGGTACCCATTAAAAACTGGACACCTTGGCCAGGGAGATGGCTCAGTAGAATAAGTGCTTGTCTGGCAAGCGCAAGGGCCTGAGTTCAATCCCCAGTTCCACCAGAAAAAAAACAAAAACAAAAACAAAAAACTGGACATCTTCAAATCACATAGTATCCCAATGAAAATGCACAGAATACGTGGCTATTCTTAAATTTGATATCTTTGCTAGTTCTAAGAACAAGGTATGATGTTTTGAATACTTACACAATTTTTAAAAACTACATATTTGGAAAATAGGAATACTTAAAACTAAGTTTAAAACTAAAAGTAGAAACTTAAAAAATTATGTATTTGGAAAATAAACATGTAGCAACAACCACAAAAGTGCATAAGGACTTGCATACCTATCTTCGTTCTTGGTTTCCAAAGGAGGGGCAGGGCCCCTTGATTGACCAAGGGGGTCAAATGCAGAACCTGAGACACAATTCAAGAGTTCATATTTAATTTGCAACCCAACAAAGTGGAGAAAATATATAAACATTAAGTCCTGTATGACAAATTTACCAACTTATTAAATGGTTTAATTACTGATTTATTAAGTGGATATAACATTATAGCTATATAAAGATTACGTATATCAAAAAATTGGTAAAACTTTTTAAATGCTTTCATGAAACTATGGAAATAAAACTTGTGGGTTAACATGTTAAAACAAAAATTGAGTACACTGGCACTATTTACTTTCTCTTGCAGTGATCTTTATCAACTTTTTTTCTCTTTTTTTAGGGAAGGGTCTACAGGGTGTTCAGGGTCTCACTACTAGATCAGACTCATAGTAATTCTCTTGTTTACAGCCTCCCAAGAGCTGGGATTGCAGGTATGCCACCACGCCCAGTCTCATGAGTGTGCCCCGGGGGTAGGGCCAGCATGGCAGGCATGGGGATTGAACCCCTGGCCCCTGCACCTGCTTGCAGGCACTTTAATCCACTGAGCTATTTGGCTGGCCCTATTATCAACTTTCAAATCATCAATTATACATGATTTCAGGGTAAATCCTGAGGGGATTTGACTGACCTTGTCAGATACAAAAGTTACATTTTTAGTTATATAGGTCTTGCTTTAACTTGGTCTTAACCATCCAGCAAGAAAGTATAACCACGAGGTATAAAAAGTAAAGCTATATTAATATGCTGAGCTGTAAAAGGCTCAAGTCAACAACTTCTGATGTTGCCAGTTCTGTTGATAACCCACTACTATTAAAGACTATTAGACTATATTGGGTTATTTTGCTGAATTCAAGCTCCTACAATGTTTGAATGGCAACAGAACACCCATCTCTGACAAAACAAAACAAAAAAGAGGGATATCAATGAAGGACCATTTTGTAGTGAAAAAATATATGTATGTGTGTATATACAAAATAGGATAGATACTCAGCTACTTTCTCTTAGTTCAATAAGAAGTTTTGTATTAATAGTGTTTAGATATAAGACATCACGTCTGCATCTTATACACAAATAACTGAATAACTACTACATAAACAACAATATGCAATGTATTAATTCCTATAACTGACTTACTAACTTGTTTTGAAACTGTCTCGTTGCTATTTCTCATTAAAATTAATTTTAAAAAGAATTAAAAATAATAAAATCATCAATTATATAAATATAACTTGATATTGGCTTTCTAATTACTGTTACTGGTAAAATAACATCTCATCACAATCGTTTTTTAGTTATATTTAACTTTTGTATATTTATACTACTTTTCCCTTTCATTTCTAAATATAACTTACATAAAATAAAATGCAAACATTTTAAGTATAATATTCAACACATTTTGACAAATTACATAGCAGTTGTAACCACCATCCCTGTGGAACAATTTCATCAATCTTTTCCTATCTTTTCTTTTCGTTTTCTTTAGGGCAGGGTCTCACCCTGTAGTTCAGGCTGGCCTTGAACTCACTATGTAGCCCAAGCTGGCCTCAAATTCATGGTAATCCTCCTACCTCAGTCTATCAAGTGCTGAGATTACAGGTATGTACCGTGATGCCCTTTTCCTTTCTTTCTTTTTTTTTTGGCAGAACTGGGGATTGAACTCAGGCCCTTGTGCTTGCCAGGGAAGTGCTTATTATACTGAGCCATCTCCCCGGCCCCCTTCTTTTTCTTTCTTAATGGTACCTAAAATAATGATCAATTATAATCAATGGTACTTTACATTTTATTTAATATGGTAATGATATTTATATACATTACAAATTGTATATAGTAAAACAGAGATCTGAGAAAAGCAACTGGTAGAAATGGCATAACAAACCTCTCAAGGCTGCTTTGGTAAACCCAGCTGCTCTTACTGCTGTCATGGGTCTAGTAACTCCATCCTTCAAAGAAAGGAATTATTCAGAAATATCTTTAAATAAGATTGATCATGGCATATGACATACATCTTAAAACAGTCCTAATTTCTAATAGTTATTTTAAAATTACTATCCATTTACTCCTCTCTTTTGACTCCTATATTATCAATCCTATCTCTTTCTTTCTGCTATAAAACTTAATTCCTTGACCCAACAGGACTGCTCTCAGTTAAAAATTTAAAAAACACAAATTATTAAGTAGTTGCTCTTCTATTTTTAGCTGTTCAATAGTATGTCCATGAGAGAAACCACAGAAATTGCTGTAAGTGGTAGCACCAAAAGAAAAGCAAGTTCTAATACAACACATAAACACACTATTGATTCTCTGTCCTTTCCATAATAGGATTTATCTGTAGACCTGAGTACATCCAAGGAAAGCATGCCTAAAAATATTTACAACAGTCCAAACTGTAGCCCACAAATTAAAAAAATCTTAATCACTATAAAAGTAACATTTTATTTAACATTTTAAAATAAAAGTGGGGAAAACTTTGGTAATACATTCTACATCATAAGAAAGGCACAAAATCAACATGTGACAGAGGTACCTGGATAGCTCCTGTCATTGGTCTTCCCATTGATGATATCAAGGATGTCTTGGACTAGCAAGTAAACAGAAAAGTAAGTCCAAAAGATACCTAAAAATAGCCACCTTTAATTTTACAAATATTTTCTTCATAATTGTTTTCTTCATTATATCACTAAGTAAATCAGAACTTTTTTTCTCATTTATCACCTGAGGATATGGGACGAAACTCTAAAACACAAGGAGGCGAACTATAACTCACACCCTTTAAATGAAGGTCTGTTGGAACCCACTTTCACACTGTTTGGCATTACAAATGCAGAGATGGGTGGATAGAAATACGATCGGACCTGCACTGCCTAAGACACTTACCTTTCATAGCAAACACATAATACACAGCATCAAAATCAAGTTTATGAGTAACATACACTTGGGCCAATTAATAAAAGCATGATTCCCATGACACACTTGGTTGTGTAGTACAGAAGGCTGTAGCTTCTTCATTCACACAAAGGACATTGTGGAAGCAAGTGCCTAGTGCTCTAAGATCTCAAGCCACTTTTGACCTCTTAGAAAATTTTACCATAAGGACTAGGAAATGCTGCTCTATCTCATTCTCTTACTTTTCTATCATGCCTTTCTTATTTTATATAAGCAAAACCATCCAAAATGCAGATAATTTGGGCCAAGATTTAAAGGCTTACTATTTTTATAGTGTTTTAGAGAGTTAGGGTTCTTCCAAAGGTCTGTAAGGCAGGACCCAAATATATGCCTCTGAAATACTTAAGTTTTATTTCTTCACTTATCAACTGTCTTTTAACAATTATGAACACTATTACATTTAAATAACATTTAGCTTCACATAAAATATATGAATGGAAAACATGTAAGACTTGGTTATATTATGCAGAAAATAAACAGAAGTCAATTAAGAAACATAAAGTTTACAAATGGAAAAAAACAATAAAATATTTCTGATATACTTGCAAATTAAGCCTAAAATGTTCAAAGGCATTAATTAAATGACTTTTTAAATTTAACTATCCAAAAGGGGATATCTACCTGCGTCACAAACTAAAAAATAGCCCAAATCATTTAGACTGCCTAATGTGAGTAAATATATAAGAAAACACATCTTAATATTTTCAGCTTACAAAAACCTACCCCATATCCAGTAGCTATTGGTCTAGTAACTGCCGTGCCTGGTATTTTAGCAGTTATCTTGGAAAGAAAAAGAACACAGTTAACAGAATCCAGACTAAGCTATATAATAGAAGGTTGGGGAAAAAAAACATAGTCTTATCAATAAATAGATTTTATATAATATTTAGAATGAGTTCTTCTAAACTACCTTTAATATTAGGGAGCTTGGTTATTTGAATAAACCAATTCAAAACATGACTCAATTTCAATTCATTTTAAAGGAGATAGGGGACTATAGGCTAGCCTGAGCTGTCAATAAGAATCTGTTTTTTGCCTGCACAGAGTATTTATTTTTCTCTCCTCCAGGAACCTGTTCATTCTGAATGTATAGCTAAGAAAACACGGTATGACTTCTGATAGGCTCATAGTCTAAAGAAATGAACAGGGGCCGAGGAGATGGCTCAGTGAAATGAGCGCTTCCCTGGCAAGCACAAGGGCCTGAGTTCAATCCCCGGTTCTGCCAAAAAAAGAAAGAAAGAAAGAAAGAGAAAAAAAGAAAGAAAGAAATGAACGAACACAAGAGCTGAGTGAATCATCCAGGCTGTAGCTTGTGATCTTAAAAGGCCCTATCCTAAGGCTGAAAGATAAAAAGAAGTATACCATCCTCCATATGGGTGGAAGTCCCTTTTCAGTGGATTAAGGTGATCAGAGAGTCTTAGTGCTATTAGGGCCATAAGTAAAAGCAAATCCTCCTTAGTGAAAGATAAGATCTTTGAGTGGTATGCTAGCCAACAGAACTAGCATACCGTGGGAGCAGAAACACTGTCTTTTTCTGACAAGAGAGCCAAAGATCACAGACAGAGCTATTGGGCATTTGAAATGGGGCTAGTGCAACAAGGACACAAATTGTGTGCATGTGTAGGTTTTAAAGAGAATTAAAAAATAGTAAACAAACATTAGAAATGATACAGAATTTCACTAAACAGAATAATAGGAATTCAGCAATGGTTGTTATATGTTTTCTTCAAATTAGTTTAGATTACCAAATAGAAGCACACAAAATTGGCAAAAAAAGTTGTAGGAAATTAAAAAGGAGAAGAAAAAGATGAAGCATTGACTTCTCCTTTCGATAGATCAGCAGAAATCAGCAGTACAATTATTCAAGCTATCATATATATTTTTTCCTTTCTTCTTTCATTTGTCCTTTTCCTCATCCTTGTTTTCCCTTCCCTTTGAACAGATTCTTTCCCTTTCACAGTATCTATTGTACATTTTAGATATGAATTTTAGATTTTATGTAATTTAAATGTAAATAGCTACATATGGCAGTTGGCTGTAACATTAGACAGCACAGGCATAGAATAATAAATTATCTCTGAAAAAGTTTTCATTTACAGTGTCTGGCATTCAATCAAAACAACCAGACAAGGCTGGGGATGTGGGTCCTCGGTTGAGCTTGGATTCTTAGCAAAACAACAAACAAAAATAATGAACAACAAAAAGCAACAGTAACAAAAACCACAAGCCATACAGGAGGCAAGACATCCTAACTAAAAAAAATCAAGAAAAAAAAAAAAAGGAAAGAAATTCAGATCTTTTGTATATGATTCCTTAGGTGACCATTATACATATTCTTATAAAATATGTGTCCTGCATTGCACTATTCCTTTGTAAAACCCCAAATTGCAACACACAGTAAATGCTTAATAATGCTAACTAAACTATCAGTCTAATAACTGATGCAACACAGGTTAGACTAGAAGAAGGAAATTAATTACATTACTCCCAGAAAGACAGTCTGTTGGCCTGTTCTATAATGACAGCAGGGGAATACATTTAAAAAGAGAGAGGAAGAGGGGAAAGCATTTGAGAGATCTTTCAAAAGAGGAGAAAATAAGGCAAACACAAGTACTTTGTTAATGAAGTCTA